GGGGCCCAGAGGATGACCCTGAACTGAGATGTGGCCCCAGCCTGGTCCCAAACCATCACACGCCATCTTTGTTGACAATTCTGCATGGCAGGCCGTGAGCTAAGCATCTCCCCCTTCAGTGTACAAGCAGTGCTATGAAGATGCTGGCACTTTCCCCATTTTATAGAGGGGCAAACAGAGGTGAAGAAGCCAGCGAAGGGCTCCTGCTCCCCTGGCCTGGAGAGGACCACCCAAGGACTCCCAGAGGGCACCGTTTGGACATCTGGCTCCGGCCAGGCTCTCAGCCCCTGCCCCATTCTCCCCAGAGAGGCCACCCACTGAATAGTCCACACCCGACCCTGTCTCCCTCCGCCAGGTCTGGTACCCATGATGCTTGATGAATTTGTAGTGCACAGGGACTCCTTCCGGATCCCAGCTGGGGCTGGCCACACACTCCTCCACATATGGCTGTAAAGGCCAGTGGGGGCTGCCAGCCACAGCAAATCCACGTGGAGCTCAGAGCCCAGAAAACAGTGCTGGTGTTGGCTCCATCCTGGGCTGGAATGAAAACCAGGCGGGGAGGACCCGCGGCCCAGAGACGTTGAGGGGCCTGCCCAAGGCCACAAAGCAAAGGGGAAGCAGGCCAAGCTGGGACCAGGCCACCTGAAGCCCACGCCCTTCCCCTTCTGCCACCCCGCCCTTCTCTTCCTGCTCTCATCAGGGGCATCCTAGCTCAGAATTAGAGGCACAGGAGCCCCTGAGGCAAGGATCCTTCCCCTATGGGCACTGCCTCAGCCCAGCCCATGTCCCCTACCTGTAGGAATGGATAAACCAGGCCAAAACCTTGCACTGAAGTCTAGATGCCCAAGCCCAGCCAGCGATCCAGTAACCAAAGGGGTTGGGGGTAACGTGGGGACTTCTGGGCTGGCAGGGAAACAAGAGGGGTTAATGGGAGTCTAGCATGTCAGGGTGCCCAGGAAGCAAATACTGAAGGCTCATGACAAGTTCCCAGGACAGCCAAGCCAGAGAAGAGGACAGAGGAGAAGCACCCAGGAGAATCCAGAGTTCCAAATATAAACTCCTACCCCAGGCTGCACCAGGATCACACCAAGTGTTGGACCCAGGTTATGAAGGAGTTGTTCGGTGCGAGGAATTTGCCAACACACAACAATGCAAGTGCAAGAAGGAGAGTTTATTAGCTAGTTCGAGCTAGGGTCCCTGCTCTCACCGACTCAGTGGCTTGAGCAAAAGACCTCGTGCATGCTCCTTTACTATCACATTTTTGTAGGAAAAAATATAGGGTGGAGTAGCACCAGGGCAAAGGGGTACAGATGATTGGTTGTTGCTAAGGGGTTTAGGGCAGGGATCTGAGATGTTGGGGGACGTGTTGGAATCCCCCGGCTCCAAAGTCTACTTAGGGAATTATTATCTAGGGAGGATGCAGAGCCCTGATACGTGGGAGACTTCAGGAGCCAGGCAAATCTCTGATACGCGCTGAATCCGGAGGAAATCTCTGATACGTGCCAAGTCCGGAGGGTAGATAAAAGCCCTGAGGCATGGGGAGTGTTAGAATCCCCGACACTAAAAGACTTGTTAGAATCCCTGACACTAAAAGGCTTCTGGTTAAAGATCTCTCAGGCCTCACACAAGGGGGCCCATAATATGATGGGTGCCTGCTCCCAACACCAACCACTGGACGGAGCAGCCAGCAGAGCCTGCCAGGACCTGCCCCCACCATGCCCACCTCCCCAGTCAATCTACTGTACCACCACTGGACCCCCTTCCTCCCTCCTGCAGAACCTTCAGGGCTACAGGGCCCAAAACGAGCTAGGGGCACTAGGCAGTGCCCAGCTCTCGGCTCTGCAGCTGACTCAATGGTGGAAGGCAGGAATGGGGGACTGCTCGGAGCGACTAGGTGGGAGCACGTAGACCAGATCAGCAAAGTACTTCCCCCACTTCCCTGAGATCAGAGGGGACATCAGTGCCTTAAGAAGCCAGGACAAGTGGCTCCCTGCCTGGTCCCACCTCACTGTGTGGCCTCAAAGTCTATCACCCTCTCTGGGCCGCAGTTTCATTCCTCAAAAAAAAAAAAAAAAACTTATTGCTACACAGTCGATTCTGACTTAGTGACCCCCCCCCACACACACTGGGTTTCCAAGGCTGCAAATCTTTATGGAAGCAGACTGCCTCCTCACCTTTCTTCCAGTGGAGTAGCTGGTGGGTTCGAACCACTGACCTTTTGGTTAGCAGCCAAATGCTTTAACCACTATACCACTAGAGCTCCTCAGTTTCTGTCTAGAAGGTGCTTCCCACTCAAAAGCTTTGGAGAGTAATGTGCTAAACTGCACCTGGAGGGAGACAGTGGGGCCTTCTCTTTTGGGAGCATTGGTTTCATCATCTGGAAAATGGGGTGATGGTTTCCCCTCCCTCATGGGGCTGCTGAGGATACAAGGTGCAATGCAAGCACAGACATGTGGCAAACAAACATGCAGACGACAAACGGCTAGTCTGCACCATGCCCCTGGTCGCCAAATTCTGTACAATCAGGACTCTGCTTCTTTTAGAAAAAGAAAACTGAGGCTCAGAGAGGCCGCGGCTTACCTAAGGTCACACAGCAAGTCAGTATGATCTGATTCTACCCCCTTCTCCAGCCCAGACACCCCAGTTCTCCCCAAAATGTCCCAGGTACCCCCAGGCTCCTAGCACCCTTGTCCCCATGAGCTTCAACAGCCCCCTTACCAGCCGGATGAAGCCACAAGCCGTGAACAGGGCAGCAAAGACCACATAGCCAGGCATGATGGGGACCAGGGAGGGTGGGCAGGAGCCGAGGCACAGGTGCCGGCATTGAGCTGGGGCTCCCTCCCTCACTGCCAGGAGGACCTGTGTCTGCTCACATTGCTGCAGGAGGCTCTCCCCGGAAGGCTCGGCCCAGGCTGGTGTACAGAGAACCGCCCCGGTGAGGGTGTGGCCAGCAGAGCCTGCCAGAACCCGCCCCCACCATGCCCACCTCCCCAGTCAATCCACTGTACCACCATGGTAAAGTGTGGCTGAGTGCCACAGACCTTCTCTGCCCCAGCAGAGTCTGAGAGCCCCTCAGGTGAGCACCTACTGTGTGTCAGGCCCCAGGCCCCAAAGATGAGCCAAGCAGAAAAAGCTCATCATGTCCACGTGCATGCCATTAGTTCTTTCACAAGGCAGGGCCACCAGTGAGGCAACCAGGGCCCAGAGGGGCCGCATAGAGGGCTCAGCTAAGGGGCGGCGGTCCTGAAAGATCCTCAGAGCCAAGAGAAAGAGTCGGGGGCTCAGAGGCGCAGGGGGGCAGGTGATGGGGAAGGCGACAAGGCCAGAACATAGAACAGACTGACAGCTTAGACACAGACCAGGCCCAAGGCTGGTCAGTCCTAGCATCGACTGAAGAGAACCCCACCGATGGCAGTTATTAGAGTAAGCAAGGAATTTATGGGAGCCATTACAGGATGCAGGTGTGAGAGAAGGGAGGAGGGAGGAGATGAGAGAATTGCTAGGTGGGTGTCAGCTGGGCTGGGGTGTGGAAGTTGAGGGCAAAGGCCAGGGAGTGAGAGAGACCCTGAGCATTTAAGAGGGCCAGAGGGAGCAGCAGTAGACTGGGCAGAGGTCATGGGGTGGTTACAAAGGGGACTTGGCCAGATTGGGCAAAAATGTGACAGGGAAAGCCCTCTTAGGGACTCCGAGCCCCAGGGGAGGTGCCAGGCTCACCCTGCAGCTGCACCCCCCTCAGAGTAGGAGCCATGGTCCCAGGACCTCCATCCTGGCTCACCGCAGCCTGTCTGACCCCTGGCACCTTTTAAGTCTGGCCCGGGTGTAGGCCATCCCACCTGGGTGGGGTTAGCCCACCCGGCTCCACCTGGGCCATGAGGGGCAGGGCCAGGGCCAGGGCCAGGGTGGTAAGGCCGATTTGTGGGGCTGAACAAAAGGGGCTGGGCAGCTTCTGCCCCGCACTCCACACCAGCCCCCCTGCCTCCATCAGACCGAATGCCCTCCCTCCCCACAGTTCTGAGCTGCCAACAACATGGGCTGCCTGCGGGGGAAATGCCCCCCTTCACTGCCCCAGGTCCAGCAGCTCAGGGGAAGCCACCAAGAAGACAGGTAAACAGAGGCACAACCTCCTGCGTGGCTCCCTGTTCTCCAGGACTCCCGAGTTCCCTCATGGGGGTCTCATGATGTGCTCGGACGGGGTGCCTTCACCATCTCTGGGCACCTTCAGGCCCAGGTGGTATCTACCGAACAGGCTTCGCTCCCAGTGCCTCAGTGCTTTAGGAAGTTTGCAGCGAGAAGGCCACGCCCACCCCGGAGGGCACTGAGGCATCAATGCTGGAACCCCAGGCACCTGTAGGGCAGTGTTGGTGGACTAGGAGGCACCAGCCGAGCCCAACAGGCAGGCCCTGTGAGGGCTGCAGGGCTGCAGAAGTGGGGGTCCCAGCCCTGCTCCCCAACCACCCCACCCTGCTCATCCCCTGCAGAAAAAGCAGAATAAAACTCAACTTCTGGAGGATTTATTGGGCTCCTGGAGGGCCTGGCTCAGGCCTATCCTGCCTTTCAGCCAGGCCCCCACAGCCCCCACACCAGATCTAGGCAGGTCACAGTACCCCTCCTCACGTGTCCCCATTTGTCTGTGTGCCATGGGGTGGCTTGGCTGAGCATCCGGGAGGCCTGGATCCTTGGCTCCATGGTGGATCTCGAGCACATCCCTTGTGCTCTCTGGGCCTCAGTCTTCTTCAACTGAGAGCGTGCTATCCTCATTGGAGGAGAGAGTCAGGCCCACCAGGGGTCCACTCCCACTTAGGATCATGGATTCCAGGGAAGCAGACGGGGTCCAGCTGTAGCCCTAGCTCCTCCAGGCCCATCTCTAAGACTTAGTCTAGCTCAAACTCACTCAGGTGCCAGGACCAAGGACCCCAAAGAGCGAGGGCACCGCATCCCTGGGCAGGAAGAAGAAGTTGGCATGGAGCAGGGAGTGGGCCAGGCCAGGTACCGGCGTGAGGTCAGGAGGAGCCGGGCTTCTCCACTGATGGGTAGAGCTTTCGTAGGCTGGAGTCCAGGAGGAAGTCCACAGACCTGAATGGAGATTGGCGATGGTGAGCAGGCCATGGGGCTAACAGAGGAAGCAGGCAGATCAGGGCTCCTGGATGCAGGGTACAAATGCTATCCAGGGGAAGAGACCTGTCCTGTGTGCCCCTCCCCCCACTTGGGGCTACAAGGGGAAGCCAGGATCGAAAAGTTCCTCCTCTTGATGCATCCACCTACCCCAGGGAGATGCACCCCTTAGATCAATCAGCCAGGAGACATCAGAAGGGCAGCATTTGCATAGAGGAAAGCTGGACAGACACAAATGCATAGGTAAGAAGGGCACAGGGAAGGTTTAGTCACAGAGAGGACAGGGGAAGAGAGCATTTTATGGTTGGGGATTGTAATTGGGACAGTGTAATCAAACAAGCATGAACTGCTTTGAGTAAAACGAATCTCCTTTGTAAATTTGCACCCACATCACAAAAAAAAAAAAAAAAATTAAAGGGCAGCGAGTTTATGTTAATTGTTCCTAACAATTCAAAACAAGAAGGTGAGAATGGTTGCACACCTTGAAGACTGTAACAAACGTCACTGAAATGTACATAGAAGCTGTTAAATTTGTGCATGTTCTGCTGTGTGTATCCTCAACAACAAAAATAAATTGTTTAAAAAACAACGTCCTCTTCTTTCTCCAGTGGGAGGCACTGAAACACACCTTGGGTAAAGGACTTATCCAGGTCCCGATGAGTTAAGTTCCCCCAGGGCCCCAGGGAACAACTCCACCTCCCACTAGCTCAGAGGAAACCACAAGACAGACAAGACAGTCCCTCATCCTAGGACTGGTCTATTGGGTTGACCCTATCTCTGGGTCTAACAGCTGGCACATGACCCAACTCTGGCCAATCAGAAAAGAGGAACTGACTCAGAGGTGGGCATTAGGTCCAGGATGAACCAATGGCAACCTTCAACCTTGAAGACTGTAACAAACATCCCTGAAATGTACATGTTGTTGTACATAGAAGCTGTTAAATTAGTCTTATGTTCTGCTGTGTACATCCTCAACAACAACAAAAATGAATTGTTTAAAAAACAACTTCCTCCTCTTTCTTCAGTGGGAGACAGGATTTCTGCTCTATCTAGAAGGCTCTCATGGGGCTTAAGCCAGTGGGGTGAAAGCTGGGAATAGTTGGGAGCCATCTCTACTGCCACCAGGAGAAAGAGATTGAAACCAACATGGAGGGGTTGGGGGAGAAGGGCAGCAGGACGCAGAGATTCGTACCCCAAATGATATCATTTGAAGGCCTAGACTGCGCCATGCCTGAAAGCAACACAACCAGGACATTCTGTTTCACAAAACAATTAATTCTTACTTTACTGACACCAAGGAGCTCTGGTGGCACAGTGCCTAAGGCATGTAACTGCTAACCAGAAGGTTGGCAGTTCAAACCCACCACCTGCTCCATGGCAGGAAGATGGGGCAATCTACTTCTGTAGAGATTTATCATCTTGGAAACCCAGTGGGGGTCACTACTAGGTGGAATTGACTTGATGGCAGTGGATTGGGTCTGGTTTTACTTAAACCAGTTTGCTGTGCTTCTTTCACCAACACCCCCAAAACCCATGGCCTCCAAGGTACACCTGCTCTGGCCTACCCTTGTAATACTAGACTTTCCTTCTGGGAATGTACTTGTCCTTTGTCACATATCGTCAAGACACCCCCTTCCAGGACCAGGCTTGCTGGTCCCATAGAGCCTGGTGGAACCACTGAGACTATAGCCCCTAGCTGCCCATCAGGTCTGGTATTGAACCCACACCTGTGGCTTCCAGCCAAACAAAAACAGGCATATGAGCTGAACATTCACCTGAGGTAGATACACTCCTTGGAGAGAACAATCATAGGAGAAAGAAGGGCTGCTTATGCACAGGAGACAGCTCAGGGGGCAGAAGTGCATGGAGGGAAGGACACAGGGAAGAGGTAACTATTGGGAGAAAGTGGGAGGGGAGCTGTTGCATTGTGATAAATTGTGATCAATGTCATGAGACAAAGTGTATGTGAACTGCTGTATGGAAAGTGAATTTGTTGTGTAAATTTTTACCCAAATCACAATAAAAAATTTAAAAAAAAGGCACCCCCTTTCTTTACTGCCAAAGTACCTCCCAGATCATATGACAGGAGCACAAACTGTCCTTTCTACCTCTGGAACACTGAAGGCCAGCCCTGCTTCTGCTATTGCTCTGTACAACGTGGGTGAGCCATCTCTCTGAGCCTAGCTCTACCCCTGTCGAGTGGCTGATCCCTGAGGCCGGGAGGTGCCCCCACCTGTCGATGGGGTGGACGATGACAGGGATGATCAGTAGCCCCAGCGCAGTGGTGGTCCACTTGCGGACAGCCAGAGGCCAGCGGGTGGCGGTGCCCAGGACGTAGAGGGAGGCGGCACACACGCGGTTGACAGTGAAGCCTGGGATGGCCACAGAGGCCAGAGCCTGCCACACAAAGGTGTCCACCACAGCCAAAGTCACCCTGGTGCTGTGGTCTGCTTCACAGCTTGATGCCTGTGGACACAGAGGCGTTTGACACAAGAGGCATGAGGCTAGACCAGGGAGGAGGAGGCAGCCAGTACCCATGGGGAAAACCAAAAAAAAAAAAAAAAACAAACTCATTGCCGTCAAGTCAGATCCGACCCATAGTGACCCCTCCTGGGGTTTCCAAGACAGTATCACTATGGAAGTAGATTGCCCAATCTTCCTTCTGAGGAGTGGCTGGTAGGTTTGAATGCCAGCCTTCCGTTTAACAGTCAAATGCCTTAGGCACTACACCACCAGAGGAAAGGGGAGACCAAACTGCAGTAGAGTTGGGTTCTAGATGATTCTACAGTTGGCTGAAGTGGGGGCAGGGACACACACACACACATAGGACTGTACTGTATTTTACACAGAGCTGAGAATGGATTCTACCACATGCTGGACTGGGGTATAGACTAGACCATATGCAGGGCTGGGGGTGGCCTGTACCCCACGCAGGGCTTAAGATGAACTATCCCAGATATGGGTGAGAAGTCTAGTACATGCAGGGCTGAGGATACACTGGGGCCGAGGGGGTACCCTACCACACCCAGGGCTGGGGGTATGGACTGTACCAAGGTGAGGTTGTGGAGAGTGAACAATTGCCCAAGGAGGGACAGACCTCTCACCACATGCAAAGCTACGGACTGGACCGTGCGGGGAACAGGCTTACAGCAGGGGCAGGAGGCTAACACTCACATCACCCGCCTTCTTGCCTTTGTCGATGGCATCTGCCAGGACATAGGAGCTGGACACACCATAGCTCAGCCACACCACAGCTGCCGGCACCAGGGAGCGGAAGGCCTCCCCCACCTCATTGGCATAACCTGGGGGGGGGGGTTGTTTTTCTTGTTAAGTGTCTTTGAGTCTCATATCAACTCACAGCAACCCCGTGTACAACAGAACAAAACACTACCCAGTCCTGCACCGTCCTCATAATCTTTGCTGGGCTTCAGCCCATCGTTGCAGCCACTGTGTCAGTCCATCTCGTTGGGGGTCTTCCTCTTTTTCACTGACCCTCCAGTTTACCAAGCATGACGTCTTTCCCTAGGGACTGCTCCCTCCTGACAACGTGACCAAAGTACAGGAGAAGAAGCCATCCTCGCCTCTAAGGAGCGTTCGGACTGTACTTCTTCCTGTTCCACCAGGGGGCGCTGCGGTGAGCTGGTTCTAATCTTAGCCTACTGAGCAATAGCTGGTGGCCTTAGGCAAGAGTCTACCTCTCTGAACCTTGGTTTCCGGACTTGTAAAACTGAGCCAAGCAGGCCCACATAGACTCTAGCGCCATCGTGTCCCTTCCGCCTCCCAGCACAGTCACCATTACCATCACTCAGTAGTTGGATGTCCTTGCCTGTGCAAGGCAACAGAGATCCGGCACTCGCCGTGTGTCAGGCTTTACCTCCTCTTCGACCCCTTCTGCCAGGGAGGAACTGAGGCTCAAACTTAACCAGCGAGTGGTGTTGGTGTTAATTGCCAGCTAGTCAATTCCCACTGCTGGAGACCCCATGTGTTCAGAGGAGAACCGCTGCACAGAGTTTTCGAGAACGTGACCTTCCGAAGCAGATCGCCAGGCTGCCTTCCCAGGCGCCTCTCGGGGGGTTGGAATCGCCAACATGTCAGCCAGTAGTCCAGCGCTTAATGGTTTGCGGGGTCCAGATCCACCTGCCTCCACAGCCAGCCCTCAGGCATGCCTGAGGTCAGCACGGTCGCCCTTTTCCTCGGGGCTTCGGGTTGGTGCAGGGGCGCCGGGGCACAAGGCTGGACCCACCAGCGGTGTGTGACCTTGGGCAAGTCCCTAGTCTTCTTTGAGCACAGGAGGATTGAGAACTAAGACCCTCCCGCCTCCTCCTGCTAACAACGTCTAGAGCCCCCCATCACTCCAGGTACAAGGAAGGAGGTGGGTCATCGCCCGGGGCTCACCTAGGTACCGCACCCACGTGTCCCGGTAGAGGTCACGCTCGGCACGTTCAGGCATGGCGCTCGCTCCGCGGTTTCAGCCACTGCAGCCGCCTGGGACACCTCGGCCTCCACTAGCGCTCCGGGCGGCCGCTATGGGACCAGGCAAAGGTCCCGGACTGAAGGGCAAGTCGTGCAGGCTGTTGCCGCTCGCAGGGAGCGTCTGCAAATTCCCCCGCACACCGAAGCCCCTCTCCCGGGCTCGGGTTTTCCGGATTGATTTTTTTTATAGGTTTTCTCTTGTCAGAGAGGGAGGCGCTATCTCTCCGCCCCTCTCCCAGGACTGACTGTGGTTTGGGGAGCCAAAGAGGCCTGGGTTCGAATTCAGGTGTCACACTTTCTAGCTGCTGGACCTCTGGTAAGAGTCTCTGCTTCGCTGAGCCTCGTTTCATTCATCTCTAAAATGGGGTTACTCCCGAGATCGGTTGCGAGGATTAATTACAACGGTCGCATGTCTGTTGAGTTTACTTCGGGCCTGTCCAGGCCAATCGCTAAAGACTCTAGCTGGATTACCTCTAGGGAAGGCGAGTGTCTTTGCAAGGTCCCAAAGCTGTTAAGGGTGGAGCCGGGATTTCAGTACAGGGTCGCTCCGAGGCCTTGCTGTTCCACTGAGCTCCCTAAAGGAGACCGTAGGAATGAATGGACCCCCTGGCGAGGTGGATACCCGGACTCATGAGTCCATTCCAGCAGGTGCCATGTTCACCTCTCAAGCACTCGCGTTTAACTGGGATTGGTGTGGCCCCAAACCTGGCACTCGCCTTGTGTCAGGACAGGACTTTGAATGAACGAACGAATGAATGAATGAGATGAGGGTAGAATTGAAGCACAGGACTACAGGGAAATTAGCAGAACATCTTGGAGGGTAGTGTTTACAGAAGGAGCCCATGCCTCTGCTGGAACTCAGTATACCCATCTGTGCTATATGTGGGGTTACAGTTCACTAAAAGTCTGTGAATTAGAACAGGGCGTCCTGGGTTCAAATCCCAACTGAGCTGCGGATTTGCTGTTAGCCTCTTTGAGCCCCAGTTCTACGTTTCTAAAAATAAACAAAAAAGAAAGAAAGAAATTAGCCGATATTTACTGAACGTTGAGTGTATCAGGCTCTCGTCTGAGCACTCTGCAAGAATTATGTCTTTGATTCTTTGTAGCAACCCAAGGCAGTACACAGATTTGCTGCGTGGTACGCAGTAGGCGCTTATTAAGAGTTAGCTTTTAGGATAATCAAATAATGATGAGGAAAATGAAGATCGAGTCCCTCTTGAGAGCCGTATTTTCAATCCTGGGCGCCGTGACAACGTAGGGTCGTGTAGGATAACCTGCGGTGACCTCGCAGTCATAAGGGCTCGGGCACTCAAAGCTGTCCCCAGCCCCTAAAACAAGGGCAGTGCTGGAGAGGAATTAGGAGACGGTCCCTAACACCACGTGATCGCTGCTCCCCCGCCTCCCTCCTATTCCAGGTCCAGGCCCACTGCAATCGCTGCGTGCTGTCGCCTGGACCTGCACTGGTAAGCGCGCGGGAGTTGCTAGGACGCACGGAGAATCCTAAATGGAATGGGACCTCTGCCCTCACCGTGGTGGCGGCCAGGTGTACCTTCATTGCCCTTAGAAAAGATGGCGGAAGATCTCCCACCAGCTAGGCCAATCAGGAGGCCCAAAAGGAAGGCGCGCGCAAGAATGCAACAGACTTTCTGCGCATGCGTTCCGCCTCTTAGCGGGAAGTCACTTCTAGGATCCTGAGGCAAAAGTTTGGGCTGACGAGAGAGCGGGAGTGAGGAAGGAAGCTGTGGGCATTGAATTCCACTCCTTGTGCACTGAACGTTGTTTTATTCATTAGTTAATTTTCCTAACAGAGCGTTGTAAACCAAGGCCAGGATGCCCTCCTTAGGAGTCTGGCAGGGACCCGCGAGGCCTCAGCCCGCTCTCATCCATGTCAGCCCTGCCCAGTGGTCCCTCAGTTTCGCCAAGCTTCCCAACCTGGGCCCGGGCCTGGGTTTCTGAAGGATAGGAGTTCCCGCGAGGGGCCGGGGCGTCCTCCCATGTTCTAGGCAGCACCAGAGCTGGCGTTCTCCCAAGCAGGACGTGGTTTGGGTTAAGTTCTGTGGTTGCCCGCAGGCTCGGTGTCCTCGAGCCCCTGCACGGTCGCCGAGCCCCCCTACTGCCCGTCCCTGCTTGGAGGCCCCGCGGACGGAGGGGCTGGGAGCCCGCGAGGCTTCCTGGTGCCGTCCCAGCCCCTGATTCTGCCAGATGCTGGCCGGGCCATTGGCCTCCTGCCCGGGCAGCCTTCCCGCCTGGTTCTGACAGAAGGGACCCTCTGCACCTGTCCTACCTCTCCCAGAGATGGGGCCACCAAGACTTCGCTCAGGTCAGTCAGAAAGGGGGTTACCAGCCCCAGGAGGGCCTCAGACTGGAAATACCCTCTTCGGATGCTACTGTCTTGATCCCCCACGCCATTTTTGTCTGGGGCGCTCAGAAGGAGGGTTATTTGGTGTGAGGTCAGGGGCAGTAAAAGGCCCAGGGAAGGCACAGGGCTCGCTCCCACCTCAGCCTCCCTGGCTTTTCATTGGGCTGGGATCTCTGGAGGTATTTTCCCTTGTGCTTTGTTTATGTGGAGGACCTTGGCAGGATACCCAAGCTCACTGTCCCAGGAAGCTCTGAGTCACTGATAATCACTAGTAATTAAAGAGGCAGCCAGGGCACCCCGGAGTTCTCCGAGTCAGGGAGAGGCCTGTTTATCTGCCCCTAAGTGGGAAGATTTTTGCTGACTCCGACCACCTCCCATGACCTGGAGAGAAGCCAGGCCAAAGCTATCCTGGCCTCAGTGATGGAAAGTCTGGAAGTCTGATTCCCACCGTAAGTCTAGCAACTAGCTACCTTGCTACTCCTCATTATGATCTAAACTTACATGATCATGTGGAAGCAAGTTCCTACCCTGCAGCGGGCTTCCCTGAAATGTTAGGTCTCAATCTCTCCCATTTCCTTCATTTCTTCCCTGCTGTCATCTAAGGTCCCTCCTTCCCCACCTTAGGTGTCAGTGGACAGGTGAAGTGGGCACAGCTTGCGAGATCAATAGATCCTGTCATCAGTAGATCCTAGCAGTGTGCCCAACCCCAGGGACTCCTTAGTGGTTTGGGAAGCAAGGAGACCCCACTCCAGCCACTCCCCCTCTCCCTCATTCTGAAATGAAAGCTCCCCAGATCCAGCCTGGGAGCTTTCCTCCAGCCCAGTTTCTTTGGGCCGCAGGGTGCTAGAAAAATGACTGCCATAAGGGGTGGAAATTGACAAGGAGATGCGGAGGGGGCCAGGCCTGTTGTGGGAGGAGGCATTACTTTGGGGTGACTGCCCCCAGCTGTTTCATCTTCTCTTCTGAGGCTTTGTCTGGAAGCAGGACCTCCACAGTGAAACTGACCTTCTTGGCATGAATGAAGCTGTAGGTGTTATCAAACCGCAGGACATCTGAGGGGAGGCAGAAAACCAGACATTCAGACAGTTCTGACAAAGGGCTGGGGACAGCAATCATTGTTGATTTTTGTTGATTGAGCAGGGCAGTGTGATCGGTAATGGGGATGAAGGTGGCATGAACCATGGTCCTTGACCTTCTACTTGGGCTGACAAGATGTTCATGTATAGAAAGAAAAAGAAAAAAACATGGCAAGTGCTATGTTGACATGGGTGACGGACACAAGCACTCCCATAGCAGTTTGTAAACAGAGTCCTGTAAACTGAAGTCATGTGAAGGCTTTCTAGAGGAGCTGGAACTGGGCTTGAAAAGAAGGAGCAGGATCAGTAGCAGCAGCTGCAGTAGCAATAATAGTAATAACAGTAATAATGGCTGTTGCTTTGTCTCAACTCTGCCCAACAGTGGGTTGGTAATCTTATTTCACTGTTTCACATAATATTAACTGCATGAGTGAAGTATTTGTCCTATTTTATATATAATAAAAAGGAGGTGGTGTAACTTCTGTTTCACACAGAAAATCTGATCTGGAATTTCAGATTCAGAACCCCTGCTTTACCTTCTGGTCCCCACTGTTGCCTTTGTCCTGACAGATTCAAACCCAAACCCACTGCAATCAGGTCAATTCTGACACATAGTGACCCTATAGGACAGAGTAGAACTGCCTCAAAGGGTTTCCAAGGCTTTAAAACTTTAGAAAGCAGACTGCCTCATCTTTATCCCATGGGGCAGCTGGTGGGTTTGAACCGCCACTCTTTTGTTAACAGCCAAGCACTTTAACCACTGGGCCACCAGGACTCCTTTCCTGCCAGCTTAGGGCCTGGAAAACCCAGTTCTGTTCACTTTCTGACAGAAGATAAAAAATGTGCAAACTGTTTGAACCAGGAATTTATCCCACAGAAAAATAAATGGACAAGTGTGGTGCAGTGAGTTACTTGGATTGACTCTTCTAACCATGGTCTTTGTGGCACCCACCAGATGACTAGGTGTTGTTTGTTGTTGTTAGGTGCTGTCGAGTTGGGCTCCGACTCATTGCAACCCTACGTACAACAGAACAAAACACTGCCAGATGGGTGGGTGAACTATGTAAATGTGAGGTGCTTGTAGTCTACCAAGGGGACTGGAGAGCTTGTTAGTAATGTAAATAAGGTACAGGGCACCCTTGTGGGGGTAGGACCATGGAAATAAAGTGTATAGAACCCTAACGTAGGGATTGGTCAGTTTTCTCATTCCACTAGGCTTAAAATGAGCCCTCCCAGAGGTGGAAAAGGGGGATCTCACTGCCATCAAGAGAGAGAAGTGGATAACATCCTTGGACCTGAGATCCCTACACTGAGACAAGGGCCGAAAGTCAGCAGAGAGATGGTAGCAGCAGAACCAGGAGGCATGAGACAGAGTGGTGGCCTTGTTGGACCATGGAATGAGAGAGCTGAGTGCCTTTGGGCAGGAGACTTGCTGGCAGAGTGGGGAGCACCTATCGGCGGAGCTAAAGAGCTTTATAACACTTGCCTGAGCCAGGCAGAGGCCAGGCTGAGAACCCAAGGACCAAAATGAAGCATGCCTTAGGTCATTGCCGAGGGGAGGCTGTCCTGATTGAAGAAGTGTGTCCATGCTGGCCAGAAACCCACCAGCTGCTCCATGGAAGGAAGTGAGGCAATCTACATCCGGAAAGATTTACAGCCTTGGAAACCCAGTGGGGGTCACTATTAGTTGGAATTGACTCAATGGCAGTGAGTGTGGTTTTTTAAAAAAAATTAGTACATTTATATATGCATAAAAATAAACTTTATGGCTTTGGCTTCCTTGTTTACCTGCACTCCAAGTTCTCTTTGATGATAACCACTCAGGTGTTTGTCCTAAAGGGAAAGTTTTCCTCAAATCCTGATTAAGTTTTACAATTTCTAAATTTCTTTAAACATACACTGAAAGACATAATTCCTGTGAATGTATACATGTGTGTGTGTACATGGCCTGAGACTATAGCAACATAATACTTTTAAAGGCATGGAAAAACTTTGATAGGTTAACAGACAAGACCTGTTAACAGCGGTTTCCTCTGAGGAGAGAAAATGGCTGTGCAGTTGGCAAAGAAAGCCAAACCTTGGCAAAGGAATAGGCTGCTTTTAATCCAACCCTGGTTCTTTGAGAAGTTGTTCCATTTCAGTCAAACACCCCTTCAAGAGAATGCAGTGTGAAAACAAAAACACCAGACCCACCCCTTCCCTATCTTGGTCTTCTCTCATTTTTCCCAGCAAAAAACTGTATTTAATCCTAAGATTTAACACTTCCTCTTTCCTGCTCCTGAATAAAACGCATAGACTGAGGGTCGAGATACCACTGTCCCTTTCTTCATGATGTGGAGTGACTATTAGTCATCTCCTCTGTGCTCAAGAGACCTTTCAGGACCAGTGGTCCCAAAGCAGGGATTTCTCGAAAGAGAAAGGCTTCCAAATGCCCTGGATGATGGAGCCTTAGTAACCCAAGCACCAGGTGTGCTGGAGAAGAGGCCTTTGGGCAATTTGGACCAAGTGCCAGGCTTGAGCCGGCTCTACGTAGGCTGCTTCTGTGCCCTCTGAGATAAGGAAGATGCTGTGCTAAGGCACAGGTCCAAGGACAGTGCTGTCACTACAGCTCCAGAGTCAACTGGTTCACTCTGACACTCATCATATACTCCTGGACTCGAGAGCCCCCACAGATCCTCCCATCCTGGCCTCCTTACCTTTTGTGGGTAACTGATCCCCTTGAGAATCTAATGAAACACAATCACAGATCCCTAGGGCCCATCATGGACCCACTGGGGAAAGATACCCTACTGAAGGGATATTTCTGGAGGGGATTTGGCATGATCTTGCCCTTTTATGTATGTATTGAAAAAAACATACTTTATCTCAAGTTAAAAAAAAAACACTGCCATCAAGTCAATCCTGACTCATAGCGATCCCTCCTTGGGTTTCTAAGGCAGTATCTCTACAGAAGTAGATTGCCCATTCTTCCTTCTATTATAGTTAGGAAGGAGCTCCTGTGGTGCAGTGCCTAAAGCATTTAACTGCTAACCAGAAGTTTGGTGGTTCAAACCCACCAGCTGTTCCTTGGAAGGAAGATGGGGCAATGTACTTCCATATATTTACTTCCTTGGAAACCAATGGGGGTTGCTATGAGTCAGAATTGACTCAGTGGCAGTGGGTTTGGTTTATTATAGATAGGACATTAGATTGATTTTTTAAATGTATGTAGGTTGGTCGTAGTATTATGAATTTGATTTCAGAATAGCAAAAGTGACATCGGAAATTACTTGTTATGAAAGGGGTGTTGTGGTCCTTAGGATTTAGAATCACTGCTTAGGGGACCCCAGATTAAGATCTTCTGCTCTAATCTATTTCCCTCATTTTAAGGAGAAACAAAGTAAAATCTTAATTATTTAGAGACACTTTTTCAAAAACACTCAGAGGTAGTGGCAGAGCTGGGCTCTGAAATCAGCCTGGCAGTGCTGTTTAACCCTTAAACGGTGACTCAAGTCTTCTGGACCACATTGTACACTCCCAGCGGACAGAGTCCAGATCTTTTTTTCTAGCTCTCTGTCTATGCCTAGTAGAGTATTCTACACTCAGTAGGCCCTCAGTAAATAGTAGTTGAGTATAAAAAAGGTGAAATCAATGCAGACTTCGTTCCCCATCAGTGAGTGAGTATTCTTGGACAAGGACCAGAGAGGCCTGGGAGGGTTCATGTGCTCTTGCAGTTGGTGTTTAATTTCTCCACTGGATAATTATGTTCCACTCTGCAGGGGTTGCCTAGTTCTCCAACGGAATTGTCCTCCAGGTGAGCTTGCAACCTAACACTGGGTTCTCCCTGGGCCCTGGTGCACTGAGCCAGACTCATTGTCTTCACACCTGGAAGAGTGAATGGATGCTATGGCCTGACTCTGCTCCTCCTAGGAATGGACAAGTAGATCAAGGCCCTGCAGGCAGATAAAGGTTCCTGTTGGGAAAGTAGCCAAGAGAAGCTGAACTAAATTTGGCATTTGCAAACCTAAGCCTGATTAAGTTACAGCTGTGGTCTTTTCTTAGGCTGTGCCCTTCAAAGACAATAGAGGCGATAGAGGGGTAATGGGCAGGGCTGGAAAATGGGTAGTACAGCTGCATGATCTTAAATTGCTTCCCTGGCCTGGGACTCCACCTTCTCTTCTGTCCAATCAAAGAAGGGACCTAGTAATGTCCAGGACAGTATCTGGCCAAGAGATCCGAGGGCAGGACTCTAGGATTCTCTGGTATCGTCTGTCTTTTGGTGTCCACACAAGCTATTTTGTGAGAGCAATATAACTCTTCTGTATCCTTCAGCTTCCCCGCTGATTAAAAAACAAAATTTAAGCTTGTATGTACCAAGTGCTTTGTGGATGACAGTGTCTGGGTTGGTGCAAAGCCTTTATTCTTGCTGAAGCACACAGCACACGCCTTCTCCCCTGGGCCCAGCTGCTCACTGATAAGAATACTCCCCCTCCCTGGGGAGCCACAGGGTATCACAGAGCAGCTGTGAGGAGGGACGTGGGTGATGTGTGGACAGAGCTGAGACGTCTGTGGGGCTAGTTCGGATCTCTTGCCCGTGCTGCCATGGAAATGGGGCACAGAGCTTCTCAACTCCCAGAACTCTATCTCAGGGCTGGCTCCTCTCCCCAAGGTCTTGCTCAGCTAACAGAAATGGTGACTATACGGTATGGAGGGCTTACTGTATGCCAGGTGTTACACAAAGCACTACATAAACCTTATCACATTTAATCATCAGGGTATTCATGTGAGGCAGAGAATTTGAACTTCAGGAAACTGAAGCTCAGGGAGGTTAAGCCACTTGCCCAAAGGGAGTCTGATAAGCCCTTGCCTTCATGGGTTTTCCATACCTGGCCCCTTGGCTCTGACCCAACCAAAACCTACCGCCAGCGAGTCAAACTGCCCCACACATAGGTTTCCAAGGCTGTAAACCTTTATGGAAGCAGGCTGCCATATCTTTTGCAGAGCAACTGGTAGGTTTGAACCTCTGACCTTTTGGTTAGCAGCTGAGGCTTTAGCCACTGCATCACCAGGGTACTTCCTTGGCTTTTGACAAAACAAACAGAAGGTTTGATGGGCAAGGGTAGAAGGGTGTTTCTGTGGTTTTCCTCCTTATAAATGTGGCCATTGTAAAATATTTCATATTTGTGGAAAGAGTATAAAAAATGAAAAGCCTCCTGATAAACTTCCTAGTACCCCAGAGAATTCTTTTCTATAAATATGCTTTTTTTCTTATTTTTAAACAAAGCGAGTGCATGCATACATTCTATGTATCATGTTCTATTTGTTTACTGTGTATGAGACAGCTAACATCTTACATGGCAACTTACTCTCCTTAACAGGCACATGGTATTCCATTGTGTGGTTAGAGCATAATTTATTCAACAGGACCCTTATTGTGGTCATTTGGTTTACTGCCAGTTTTCCATGCTGCCAGGAACATCCTTGTATCTGTAGCTTGTGTATTTATGTAAATGTTTCTGTGGGATCAATTTCCACAAGTAGAATCGCTGAGTCAAAGCAATTGATAATAGGTTTTGCAAAGTCAATGAGGTTAAACATCTTTTCATATGCTATTGGCCATTCTTACCACTCTTGGGTGAACTGCCTGTTCATAGCCTATGCCCACTTTGTGGTCAACGTGGAAGTGATTAACACTCAGAGGGGTCAAGGCTGGGCTTTGCAGCACTTTGCTTACCCTGTGATCCCGACTCCACCCAGCTAGTTCTGCCTCTCTGACCTCTAGGGAAGGTGTATCCCCAAGAAATGTCTAGTCACGGTCCCAGATCTGGTCAGACCTGGACCAGAGAGCAGATGTTCTGAATCCCTGTGATTCAGATCCCTGTGACTGACCCTACCTGGGAGCCTCAGGTCAGAGCCCAGTCCCACTGTTAACCAGCTGGGTCACCTGAGCAAGTCATTCCCAAGCCTAGCTTTCCTCATGCATGCAAGGAGGGGGTGAACTGATAGAGCACCATTCTGAGCTCTGAACAGTCTGAGATCCTAAATCCATGGAGGAAGAGGGACCTCACAGGCAGGGCTAGCAGAAGATTCAAAGCACTGCCAAGACAGATACTTACAGATGCCAGGATCACTGCAGGTGAGAGTCCCATCCTCTGGCACCATGTGGGCATTGTACCTCTGGTTAGACAACACCTCTGTCATCTCCCCTGCCCGTTGCCGCTCGCCCATCTTGGTCTTCAGGAAAATCCCAAAGCCGATGTCTGCTCCATCTGATGCAAACTGCCACCTGCAGGGTGTGCCCACCCATTTAGACACAATCCTTCCATATATGCCCTCTCTGGAGTCCTGGCATCAGGACTTCTCTCACCCCAGCCCACCCCCAGTGCCTATGGATGTAAGGCTCCTGAAAGGCAGAGACCCCTACCTAAGGACACAGCCGGGGAAGAGGATCTCATACTCCACTTGGTGAGAAGAACCACGGGCAATCTGCACACAGTGTTCATACTGCTGTTTCACCTGGTCTCGCACGTAGTACTTCTTGGGGATGTCACCCCCATAGTTGATCTAGAAGCAGAGCATGAAGTAAGCTGGAATGTGGGTTTGAGCCAAGCCTCCCTGTTCACCTCCAGCCCCTGGTGGCCCATACCTTGGACTTGCACTTGGGGTTTCCGTCAGGGTCAGTCATAGTACCCCCATACTCCACAGGCAGCTGGTCAGGGCTGATATGTTTCAATAAAACCTCCTTCCAGTTTGCTGGCAGGAGAGGGAAAGAAGGAAAAAGATCTGTCACCACTAGGCAAGAGTTCACAACCCTGGCAGTTCATGCAAAAGAGAAAAAAAAACAACCAATACCCCCCCACACACACACACACACTCACAACACATAATGTACTAGGAGCAAGAGTATTGTATGAGGAGCCATCACCAGAGGATTGCCTGTCCCTGGACCAGGAATCAGGAGACCTGCATTCCTGACCTCATTGCCTCAGACCAGCTGTTGACCCTAGGAAAAGCACCTCATTCTGAGCCTCGATAAGCAAAGAAGCCCTGTTGCTCCTGCCCCACGGAGTCACGGGAATGAACTGATCTGAGTTCCTGAGAGGGCTCTGTAAACTGTAAAATGCCCCAAATGTGTAAGAGTATTATCCAAAGAAGAATGAAGAAAACCAAAGATGCATGGAAACCATTAGTCCAAGGGACTGGTAGACCATACGATCCTCAGCCTGTATATATGACCAGGAGACCAGAAGAACTAGATAGTGCCCGGCTACCACTGTCAACCACTCAGAGGGACATCAGTGCAGGAGAACTGGATAGAGTGGGAGAACACTGTGGAACAAAACTCAAAACCATAAAAAAAAAAAAAGACCAGGTTAGCTGGTCTGATAGAGCCTGGTGAGACCCCTGAGACTATGGCCCCTAGTTACCCTTCAGGTCTGGAACTGAACTCACTCCTGTGGCTTCCAGCCAAACAGTAGACAGGCATGTGGGCTGAACATTTACACCAGGTAGATACACTCCTGGGAGCAATCAACTGTGGGAGAACAGAAGGGCAGTGTTTGTACAGGGAGACGGCTGGGGTTGGTGTGTGGGAGGGAAGGACATAGTGAAAGGGTAACTATGGAGAGGAAGTGGGAAGAGAGCTGTTACACTGGGGAATGGCAGTCAATGTCAGGAAACAAAATGTGTGTGAACTCGCCCTGGAGAGAACAATCATGGGAGAAAGAAGGGCTGCTTATGCACAGGGAGACAGCTCAGGGGGCAGGAGTCCATGGAGGGATGGACACTGGGAAGTGGTAACTATGGGGAGGAAGTAGGAGGGGAGCTGTTGCATTGTGGTAAACTGGTCAATGGCATGAAACAAAATATATGTGAACTGCTGTATGGAAAGTGAATTTGCTCTGTAAATCTTCACCCAAATCACAATAAATTTAAAAAAAAAAAATGTGTGTGAACTGTGTGGAAAATGAATTTGCTCTGTAAACTGTCACCCAAATCACAATACAAATTTAAAAAGAAAAAAAAAAAAAGAGTGTATTTATCATGCCCAGGAAGGTGATACAAACGTTTGACATGCGAGCAGGAGAGGACAGAGGGAGGAGGACGTTCCATGCAGAGCATGCGTGGCAAGCAGGAAGGCCTGAATCAACATGCTCAATTCTGGGTTAGACTGAGCTCTGTGAGGACAGGCCCTGTGTATCTTGTTCTCCTCTTCAGCCCACACATGATGGTTTCAGTCACTGTTGACTGACTGAATGCATCGCTGTACGGTGATCCCTCCCATGGCTGCCCCAGCCAATTTTACTTCTGCTTCTGTTGTTCCGAGCTATTTAGCTGCCAGTGATTTGGCTTGTTTTTGTAAGCAAGCCCTTTCCTGACTAGGAGAGTATGACTCCAATGCAGAAAACTACTTCCCCACCAATCCAAATTACTAAACAAATTCCAGCCAAGGGCAGAACTTTGATATTGCACCCCTTTCCATGCTGATTATGTAAACTGTATGTGGGCAGTAGCCCCAAGCCATAGGATAAAGCCCAGTATCCTCTACCTCCATGCTGGCCAGAAACCTACAGTGTCTGTTGAGGGTCTCCCAGCCCTCAGATGGACATGACATGCAACTCTTGGGAGCACGGTGTCTTATGGTCTTGGGGTGATTTATTCTGTGCTGTTAGGTTCCAGTGACCATCTCAAAGTTAATTTCTTCCCTTCTCTGTTGAAGATCCTGTACCTTCTCAGCCCAAGGCTCGAATGGTGGAAAGAATGTGGGCGGGAGAACAGACTGAACCTTCTACACAGCTCTGCTGCCAGGAAACCAAACCGTCTCATGCACATGGTGGGTGGTAGCAACAGAAAAACCAAAAATCATAAGCCTTTTGTTCAGATTTTTGGATTTCTTCCCAAAATTCAGCTGGAGAGTTGACATAAGGCCAAGAAGATTCTTCCCATCTTCTAGAGAGAGTAACTTGAGGCAACAAGAAGCAGAGCTAGGAGTCTCCCTAGCTCCCGTTTGGAAAGATCTCCACTTTTAATATGTCATCTAGGACAAGAGCTAAAACTGTTTACCCTCCCCTGTTCACAAACCGTCAGACTCCATAATACTTACTTTCCAGTTCAACTTTTTAGGTGGCATCAAGCCTTCTGTGAGCCAATCCCAGTCTATCTTTCTAGCCCTTTCTCCCAGCACTTCACTTCATGCTCCAGCCAAAGTGAACTCCTCTCTGCCCATGGCTGACTCAACTCCTATGCATTCTCCTTGTTGGGTTTTGGGTCACACTTTCCCCTGTGCCTTGATGTTCTTCCTGCTTTCCTGCATATCCAGTCCCTGTTGACGTGCTTCTCTGCCAACCTCATTAATCACTTCTTCTCAGTCTCCCTGGTGGGTCTCTCTTTCTCTGTGTGCTCTTGAGCTTAGACAGTCCCCAAGGTTCCATTGTCAGTCTCTGTTCTTCCGTAGGCAGTCTTACCTACCTACTGTCAGGGTTTGAGCTACTGCCTAGATTTGATGATGCCTAAATCTCCAGACCAGGAGTTCTCGCCTAAGCTTCAGGCTTCAGTATTCCCAACATCTGTATATTTCACGGACAAGTCAAATTCAACTTTAAACCTTTCTGTCTGGTTGTACAGAATGAACACTGAATCGATGAATCACTGTGAATTCAGTCACACCAGACACCAGACACCTCGTTCTCCCTTCCCACAATCCCATAAATCAAGTTCTGCTGTTCTTCTTCCTAAAGTCTTAAATCCATCCTCTCCTCTGTATCCCCCAGCACTGACCGCCCTACTTCAGGCATGCAATGCCCCTTGTATGAACAATGCCCATACTGTGCAAACTGTCATCTGTGACTCTGTCCTACACAATCTTGCTGGTACAGTGTGTCATCTCGATCTGATCACGGCACTCCCCTGCTCGGAGCTCTTCTCAGGCTCCTAGTAGCTTTCGCAGTCATGTCTCAGCTTCCCAGCATGGTGCCCTGGATTCTCTGTGACCTGGATCCTGGACCTTCTCCAACTCATGTCTTGACACACCCCGCCTCACACTCCACAAGATAGTGTCTATGCCATGCTGCTGAAAGGCTTTGCTCAATGCTGTTTTCAGCCAGCCAGCTGCTTATTCACTGTGCAGACCAGGGCCTGGCACAGAGTAGGTACTTGTTAAATGAACCCACTCCCACTACACCCAAGTGAAAGTAAACTCTGCTCCTAGGACTTCAGCAATGCCTTCTCTTGCCTTCCCTAGTGTCCTTTCCCTAGTTTGTATCATAGTTTCTTCTCTATAGATCTTCTGTCTCTCGTTATCCTATAAGCTCCTTGAGGGCGAGGACTGGGGTTTCATTCATCTTTGAACATACAATGATGAACCCAATACTTTCTTCTAGAGTGTCAGAGAGTTCTTGTGAAAACAAATAAACAGGAAGGCCCTGACTCTGTCCCAGCTTGCTCCTGGGTCCCAAACCAGCAGAGGGAGCCTTTGCCCCTAGTGCAATGTCCACATCTGCCAAAGCCAGCTCCAGTTTGGGCCACAGACCATCCTGTGAAGTTAAGAAGGGTCTGGGACACTCACCTCCCAGGACCATGATCTTCTTACGAGTATCCTCACTTAGGAAGGGTTTGATGAGGTTATAGGCCACAGGAAACAACTTGGGGGCTGGAATAGAGACCAAGAGATGAGATCAGAAGCTGGACCTTGTCTCTCCCTAACAGCGTCTTCTAGAGCCCTTCTCTCTACGGCCCCCAATGTCAGTCCACATGCCCCCTAGTGCTATGGAGCCTGGAGAGGCCAGCTGGGTACCTCTTTGAGTTCCAGCTTCTTCATCTACACAGTGGGTAGTCAAATGGTCTCTTCCTGTCTCACCTGGCTGTGTGGCTCAAGGAGGTCATTGTCATTAGTGATGGCAAGTCGATTCCAACTCATGGCAACCCCCTGGCAGTGCAAAGTAGAACTGCCTCCACAGGATTTTCAAGACTGTGACCTTTTAGAAGCAAATTACCAGGACCATCTTCCAAGGCACCTCTCTGAGTGGGTGTGAAGCACCAACTTTTGGCTAATAGTCAAAGGCTGCACTGTTTGCTTCACCCAGGGGCTCCTTTAAAGGGTACAGTGAACATAAAAGGCTTTGTGAATTGTAAAGTGGACTGAATGTGTAAAGGGTCAGCCTTCTTAACATCTCCTTCCAAACCAAACACAGCCATCAAGTCAACTCCAACTCATAGCAACCCCCCCTGGGTTTCCAAGGCTGTAAATCTTTACAGAACCAGATGGCCTCATCTTTCTTCCATGAAGTGGCTGATGGGTTTGAACCACTGACCTCTGGGTTAACAGCCAAGTGCCTTAACCACTACACCACCAAAGCTCCTTTCAACATATCTGTAGGCCATCTTCTTTGGCTCACTCAGTTTTACTCTTCCTAATCTGCTCTGGTAACCTACCGGCCCTCTTTCCCATTTGACATCCTCACAGGAAATTCCCAACTTACCTTTAACAACAAAAAGACGCTTCAGTGTTTCGGGATAATTTTCCTCAAACATGCAGAGAAACTGTGGAAACAAAACCAGTCATTCCAGCAGGCTCATAGCTCCGTCAAGGAGAGAGATGCTCCTTCCTCTAGGCTAGAATCTGTCCCTACCACCTCACCCACCCCTCAAGGCATCCTAGCAGAGGGGCCCAACTCCCCCTCGCTCCTCTCACTGCCCTCCCACCTTGGCAGACACATCCCAGCCACTCACCTCTCCATAGGCCTCCACAGCAGGCTTCCAGAGATGCTTGAGGCCAAGCCCCTCACAGTCATAAATCATGGTGATGGTCTCCACCTTCTTCCCCATCTGGAGAGAATGGAGGCACAGTCTCATTGGGCTGCTCCACAGCAGAAACTCACCCAGGTCAGGAGCAGCGTGGACTACACCACATGCTGAAAGAGCAACTGGATCTGGGTAGGGCTGTGTCTAGAGTTTTCCTGATTGAGATAATCAACCCAAGCCAGAACAGTGGTCCAGGCAAGTCACTCTTGTCCAGGTCTCCGTGTTCTCTTCTAGACCCGGATCCAGATTCCTTCCATTCCACACTCTGACCGGCGGCCTACACCCTCTGAATCGCTGAGCGCTCTGTGGGCACCATGGAGCATTCAGTCCGTGGGGCCTTGTGTGGCCACGTATCTCTTAGTCATAGATCCTCTCTGTCCAACCCAAGCCCAGGAGAGTTGGTCTGTGACAAAGATTTTACCAGCCCCCAGATAGATGCAAGAAATAGAGATAATGTACTTAGTTTCTTATAAAGCAAAATGTATTGAATTTCAAGACCTGTCCTTTATTCTGAGATGGTGCCCTTCTTATAGTTTTTAGTATTAGTTATGGCAATAATAGATAATAATTTCATTTAAGAGCTTACTTGGCAAAATAAAAATTTGGCAACATTAGGTCAGTCCTCAAGTTTGAAATGTCACTGGTCTACGAAGTTCAAAAGTCTGGGCCTCAGCCCTGAAGCTGTGCTTAAATCCCTGTGTGACATCCCTACTTCTGCTTGAATGCTTCCACCAACGGTTAAGTTATTTTCAATCACGGTCATCCACTCACCTTTGCTGTTTGTCGGACACATTCCTGCAGAAGCAGCTCACAGTCCCGCATCTTGGTCCTGAGTAGATCCTGTTTGGTGGCTGAGAACAACAGCCCCTTGGCATCCAGAGGTCCAATAATATCATACCAGACCGGGCAGCCATCCAGGTCATAGCCACACATGCCCCCTGACAGATAGTGTTGGACCACCTGGGGAAAAACAGAGGAGATGCTTAGTCTGCTGGCCCAGAGCATCTATACCATCCCTGTACTACAGGAGCTAATTCTGGGCTCTTCAGCTTCCTCACATATACCCCTCCTCTGGGTGACAAGGAATACTCATACTGGGAACCATCTGGGCTCACTTGGCATTGTCACACCTTTCCTTTGAAGGTCCCAGTTCAATAGACCAAGGACACAGATTGGGGTCTAACAGACCTAGAATGGGCATGGGGCAGGATCATGTATCCTCACCTCCGGAGGCTGCCAGCTGACGATGTTGTCAATGTCCTTTTGCTTTCGGAACTCCACGTGCTGCAAACAAACCGTCAGGGATTAAAAAAGTCTGGTGGGTGGACCCTTTAATAAGCATCTAGCAGTAGGTGGCAACATGAACAGACTACAGGTAGGTCATCAGAAGCCAAAAGGCAAGGAATTCATTTCAGAGGTCTTGGCAGAACAGATGATAGGATTCTTGGCTGCCCCAGACCTCTGAAAGCTCTCTGTTTCCAGGAGAAATGTACCCTGTCCCAAAGGGATAAGGCAATATCAGTTGGCTAAGACTCAGATATGTTACAAAAGCCAAAGGCTGCAATTAAGGTGGGTGGGGTAAGCCAAAGAGGTCCAAGCAAGGTGTGATTGTGATGGGAAGGAACTGAGGCAACTGTGGGATGCAGAGCCAAATGGACCTCACCTTCCGGAGCATGGCCTCCGACTTCTGCAGGTCAAAGTTTCTTGCTGTAACAGGGAAACATGGTGGAGGTTAGGCCAGCAGACTGGGTGTCCAAGGATTGGGAGATTTCCCTCTTCCCATGCTGGGACTCGCTCCTCTCAGTCACCTCCCCCGCTGACTCTCAAGTCATCCTGCAGGCAGAAGCTAATGCAAGGACCTTCTCTGAAGGCTTCTAGAAAACCATAACTGCTGGGCTTATGGGGACAGCAGGCAATTGAGTTCAGGGCAATTGAGAGGAGTACTGTGACTTTAGGGTCAAAAGTACTTTACCCCAGTGGATGTTGCCAGGTGAAAGGTCTTACCTCCTCTCAGGGAAAGTGAATCCCAGACCCCTTATCAATTAGCCTTCCCTATTTACATGGACAAAGCTTATCTCTATCCAGTCCTGAGAATCCAACCCACAGTTCAAAGATGAACATAGCTACTGTGTAATCTGAGGCGAAGCTCGAGCATCCCGGTAGGATGGGGGTTATTGAATCTCTCACTCTTGTCATGTCCTCAAAGGACCCATGTATACTACTATGAAGGAACACAAAGACCCCTCTCCCAGAGTCCTTAGAGGGTTTTGGAATTAAAGTTCACCTGGGCCAACCTTTTATTTGATGCATAACCCTAACAAGTTGTCCCACTGAACACAAAGACCTCACTGGACCTGCAGGCCACCCACTCCCAGGTAATCACAGCTGCCTGTGCTCAGTTCTCTTTGTGCTCTGAGAGTGTTACATGACAACCCTTCCAACACTGGCCACTTCTGTGCTGTCAGCCCAAGTCTCCCCTCCAATGAGGCTGCCCATCTTGAATCCTTTACCCAGTCCTCACAGCTTGCTTTCAAGTCCATCTAAGCCACTTCCTGTTGGATGTTTTCCAGTTTGCCGGAGCCCCTCTTAAAGCGCTCTGTCCAGAGGAGCAGAGCGCCAGGTGTTGTCTGCAGTAGAGGCTGGAGAGCTTCCTTGACAACGTGTCACACCCTTAACTCAGATCCAGCTTATGGTTAACTGACACCACCAAATCCTTTTCACCTGTGCTACTACTAAGCCTCCATCCATATATGGAGAGGTGCTTTTCTGGACCTTAAATTCATCCCTCTCAAATTCCATCCTATTTGTTGGCTTCATTTCATCCCTTAAAGACCTTGGGAGATTCAGACTCTGACCAACTCTGCCACCATCTGACCTCTGAACCGTCCCTCCCAGCTGCATCTCCCTTGGGGATCTGATCCAGCATCTAGATCTGCTGACAGCTCTGGAACCTGGGCCAGCCAGGCTGCCCTCTGGACTGTCACCAGTTCCTTAATCAGTGCTCTCTAGGAGTGGCCAGGCACATTCCCTGGCCCCGCTGCTGTGAAGTCCTGTCATCTGTGGCCCAGGGGTGCATCCTGAGAGATTTGATCCAACGCCACACATGTTATCAATACTGGAGACACGTTTGCAGGACCGAACACGCTTGACTCCGGGACATTCTTCCAATCACCCTCCTTTCCATGCCATCGTGGCAGCATGGGGCAGGTTTTAGAGTCATATAACCTGGGTTTGCATGCCAGCTCTTTCCACCTCCTCTCTGTTTGACCTTGGTCAAGACACTAGCCATCTCTGTCTGAGTCAGAGAAGACAAGGCAACATCTCATGAGGAGGGAGCCCAGCTGGACCATGAATGTGAAGATCTTGCATAGGAACTAGGGCACCCCTACCTTAAGGAAAACCCTTATCTTTCTAAGGAACATGAGTGGTAGTGAATTGTGAGCCACTTATCTCAGGGGAGGCTGTCCAGTTAACCCTTATCTGCTAGGGTCCAACATCCAGGGCCTCCCCAAGTTCCCACTTGCTCCTGGCGTACCCCGCTGGCTATCTCCCCAGGCTGCTGAGTCAGGCCTTTCTGGCTCAGGGCAGCTCTAAGTGTGGCTTGGTGCTCCCAAGAAAATTCAGCCTCAGGGCAGCTTGACTACTCTGTAGTCTTGTCAAATGGGCAACTCAGACCTGCCTTTCTCCCTCAGGGAGTTTCTAGGAAATGATGATGAAAGTAGAAAGCTTTTGGGAACAAAAGACCAGTTTGGTGTTGAATTCCCACCAACTCCTTATTTTATCTCGCCATCTGGATCCTCCTTCCTGAAGTGCCCAGACCTCAGCCCCAGTCAGGGGAGGCAGTAGGTTCTACTGGGCCTGCTCTCAGTTTCTGAGATCAGAAAACAGCCCCATGTTGGGGGGAAGAAAAGAAGAGTGGAACCTGGAGATTACCCCTAGGTCAGAGGAAAGCATTCTGCTATGGTGCAACTTACAAGTGTTTCCTTTAGCATCAAAGGGGAAAGAGAAAATGTTCTTTAAAAAAGCAACAACATGCACTGTGGGAGATTACAGTCATGTCATGAGACAAAGTGTATGTGAACTGCTGTATGGAAGATGAATTTTGCTTTGCAAACTTTCACCCAAATCACAAAATTGGAAAAAAAAAAAAAAAAAAAGGCAACAACAAAAACCCTAATTGATATTCATAGTAGAGTCTGAGCAGCCACAGCCCCGGCCTGACTGCCTGCCCAGGAAATGTGAGACAGCAGTGACATGGCCAGGAGCTGCTTCCTCCATTTTAAGAGGTAGAGCTTGGCTTCAGGGGTCAAGTGTGGCTTCCTGGAAAGGGTGCCTGGGAAGCTGGAGTCTTAGGCTTCCACCCTCATTCTGCTCCTTATTAGCTGTGTGTCTTCAGGAAAGTCCCCTCCCCTCTCTGAGCCTCAGTTTTCTATCTGACCAAAAAAAAAACCAAACTCACTGCCATCAAGTCAATTCTATTTCAGAGGGGCACCTATTGGGTTTCCAACACTGTGACACTTTATGAAGCAGACCACCCCATCTTTCTTCCACAAAACGGCTGGTGGGTTTGAGCCACTGACTTCTTGGTTAGCAGCCAAATGCCTTAACCACTACACCACTAGAGCTCCTTTTAGCTGACCAGTGAGAATGAACGCCCTCTCAATATTCCTGTGATGAAGGACATCAAGCTCAATTGGCATAACATACTACACAAAACATTGTTCTACCTCCTACTTTGGTGAGTAGCGACTGGGATCTTAAAAGCCTGCCAGCAGCCATCTAGATGCAACGATGGGTCTCTCCTCATCCAGTGCAAAGAAGAATGAAGAAAACCAAAGATTCATGGAAAGGATTAGTCCTAGCAACTGGTACACCATGCGACCCGCAGCCTATATGACTATGAGACCAGAGGAACTAGATGGTGCCCAGCTACCAATGTCAACCACTCAGAGGGGGATCTATGGAGAAGATCCTGGATAGAGAGTGTGAACAATGTGGAACAAAACTCAAAATCATTTGGGAGAAAAAAAAAGTGGGGGGGACCGGGTTTGCTGGTCTGATAGAGGCTGGTAGAACCACTGAGACTATGGCCCCTAACTGCCCTTCAGGTCTAGAATTGAACCCACACCTGTGGCTTCCAGCCAAGCAAAAGACAGGCATAGGAGTTGAACATTTACCTGAGGTGGATACACTCCTTGGAGAGAACAATCATGGGAGAAAGAAGAACTGTTTATGCACAGGGAGACAGCTCAGGGGGCAGGGGTGCATGGAGGGATGGACACAAGGAAGAGGTGATTGTCGAGAGGAAGTGGGAGGGGAGCTGTTGCATTGGGGGAAATTGTGATCAATGTCATGAGACGAAGTGTACATGAACTGCTGTATGGGAAGTGAATTTGCTCTGTAAATTTTCATCCAAATCACAATTTAAAAAAAAAAAAAAATCCTGTGATGGAGAAGGCTGTGTCTAAGTGTCCTGGGTGAACTACCAAGCGTTATGAAAAGAGAGGGGTTATCACAGGACCAGGAGCGGGGTTCCCCGGAGACCAGCAGCCAGGGCTCCAGGCTGGCCTCGTCCTAGGCAGAAGAGAGCTTCATGGCTGTTCACGGCTCTCTGGACCCCCTTTTCTCCACCTCACAGACAGCTCTGTAGTTGGGTTGATCATCTTGTAGCTGGCCCTTTAAGAAGGCCACAGTCTTCCCACTCTCTCCACCCACCCCTTCTAGCTACAGCCCTTTAGCAAATATGGGGCCAGAATTTCCTCCAGTCCTGGACCGACTTTGCTGCCACCCCCACGCCGCCCCTCCACCCTCTCTGGGAAGGCTGGGTGGGTGGGTTCGCAGCCTTTTCGGGAAAAGGAACCAGCAGCATTTCCAGAGGCACGCTAGGCCCCACGTGGCTCTCTAGGCTGCACCTGCGCTCGGGTGTTTGCTAGCAGTTCCTCATGAGTATGTCAGCACGATTCAATTTCCAGGGAGAAGAGGAAGAAATACCTCCTCACCCATCCCAAGACACCTAGGGAGTGTATGTGTGTATGCGTTTGGATAAGGAAGTAATCGGGCATGATTTGTACTTAATATTTTGGGGTCTGATTCCACATCGTACCTTAACCTCCAGAATTTTCTTTATGATTTCTGTGTCTGGTGATAAACTTTCTATAAACTATATTCCAGAAGAACCAGACAGAGTGGCACATGCCATGAATTACAGGAGAGGACAGAGAAAAGTACAGGAGGACTTCAGGAGTTAGGGGGGATGCCGGTAGTGACCCTCACGCTAGTGGACATGGCTCTGCTTCCTTTTTCCCTACAGAGCTCTGTCATGTCACATTCTTGCACCCCATCTGGTCCTGTCCTCCCAAAGGAGAAGCCTAGGCCACAGGTTTGCCCCTGGCCCAGGGTGCTATGGCAAGGCCAGGGCAGAGCTGGAACTAGAACTTGGGCTTCTGAAGCCTGGCCGTGGCTTGAGGAGACTCTTGTCCGACCAGGTCAGGCTGAGCTCCCTTGTTCCTGGAGCACACGGTCCTCTTTCAAGCTGTCTGCCTAAACTGGCAGTGGTAGCAGAGGGCCTGCCATCCTAACAGGGCACCAAAAACGCACACCAAACCCACTGCCATCGAGTTGATTCCGACTCCTAGTGACCCCAACTGGGCTTCCCAGCTGTAAGTCATTATGGAAGTATATAGCCTCCTCTTCCTCCCATGGAGCGGCTGGTGGATTTGAACCACTGACCTTCTGGTTAGCAACCAAATGCTTTACCCACTACACCGGCCTTCCAACAGGGCACAGAGGGTTCTAAACTCAGCTCTGCCTCCGAGTTCCCACATGGGCCCTTCTTGCTTCACTTTTCCTCCACCCCTTTCCACAAGCGCATCAGCAAAGTGGATTTATCAAGAGGCAGGGAAAGAGCACTGAACTGGGAGTCCACAGACCTGGGTTCTAGTCTTTTCTCTCCCTGCAGCTCACTCAGTGTGTAAGCCACCTCACCTCTCTGAGCCTAAAGGTTGAGGGGATTTAATTGCCATGGCCGTTTTTGGCTTTAAATGTTAAACACTCCAGATGCTTAGATTGTGAAGGGCAGGGTTTCCAGAAGGTACTATTCTATTTAAAAAAAAAAAAAAAGCTCACTGCCATCAAGTCAACTCACAGCAACCTCCTTTGGATTTCTGAGGCAGTAAATCTTTACGGAGGTAGATTGCCCAGTCTTCCTTCCATGGAGTGGCTGATGGGTTTGAACCGCCAACCTTCTGGTTAGCAGTCAAATCCCTTAGGCACTACACCACCAGAGCTCCTTATGACCCAGAACAAGCACTTGTCCCCACCTCCCACAACCCCTTTGCCCTCACCTCGGAGCCAGCGCAGGAGGAAATAGTCATCCGGATTCGGCAGGGCGGGCAGCACATCCCGGACATTCTCCCGAAACTGTGGGAAGAGGCAGCTGGGTGAGTGGCAGGTCCCAGCCCAACGAGCCCATGCCCAGGGGCCTGTGCTGACTCCTCTTCAACATGGTTCAACTCGGCAGACACTAGCTGAAAGCTTGTGCTGCCTGGAACACTCAGCCAGTGCCGGGTGGCAGGGGAGGAGGTGGGAAGAGAGTCAGACCCTCGCCTTGGCCTTGCTACATACACATGCAGGGCCGATGGGGAGGCAGCTTGTGCCCAGCAAGCTAACTGTGACAGTAGGCACTCTGGTACATGTCACAGTAAAAGTTACCATTTGACCAAGCATTTACCATGTGCCCAGCACTGATCGTGGCACAAAATCTTATTCATTCATTCATTCTTCACTCAAGAGTCCCTAGAGGTATTACTGTCCCCATTTTAGGTTGTTGTTGTTATATACTGTCAAGTTGGACCCAACCCATAGCAACCCCTCCTTGGGTTTCCAAGGTGGTATCACTACAGAAGTAGACTGCCTCACCTTCCTTCCAAGGAGTGGCTGGTGGGTTTGAACCACTAGCCCTCTGGTTAGCAGTCAAGTGCCTTAGGTACTACACTACCAGAGCTGCCATCCCCAATTAATCGGTGAAGGAATTAAAGTTCAGAGAGGTTGAGTAACATGCCAAAGGTCAAACAGCTAGTCAGTAGCACAGCAGG